GAGGAACTAAGTTAGACAGTGGAGCTTGAGATGTTGATGGCAACACTATTAAATCAACTGTTTGACTATTTTTAGAAGTAGACCTAGTGGATATGGCTTTAGAAATCGGAGGCTCCAATGCCTGAGGGCATGGAGAAGATAAATTAATAAGTTCTAAGGACTGGGATGGAGGATTTTTTTTACTAGAATCCGTGGCTGTCTTTTTAGGTGGACTAATAACATGCCCACCTTTATTTTCACGGCTATCTTCAGAGTGTGGAGGGTCGTCGAGACAAGTGAAAGATCTAAACATTTTTTCGTAATGCTTAAATTTCTCAACAAGCGCCGACAGATCCTTCCCGATCTCAGAAAAACCATTTCTGGACTGCCTGAAGAATTTAAATAAATCAACTTCGGTTGATCTACATTTTTGACAAGACCAACGAAGACCCTTACCCTCGTTAATAGCGTCTAATACTCTACCGCTCAAACCAGCACATTTTATATGGGCAATCCCATCGCAGAGCCAGCATGACACATAGGAGTCGCTTTTAACGTGGCAATTGGTGTAAATACACGACATGTTTAAAATTATATTTATTTTTAGGTTTTAGAAGCAAAAAAGCAAAAACGGTTTTGAAAACGATGTATTAATCAGTGAACCAATCAGCTGGTAAATATCAGTTAGCGAACAGTTTTAGATGCACTGTATATTTGACACCTAATAAACACAACGCAAACAGCTGTGACAAAGATGAAACAGCAGAAATGACAAAAAGACAAAAAGAGCAAAATCAATGTGCACAAACAAAAACAATTGTACAACAACAATATATTATATGAAACAAAATACTCGGCACATGCAATTAAGAATATCAAGTTAAATTAATCAAATTTACGGGAAATTTTGATGTTTTACTTATCTTTAAATTGTGCACCAGAAGTTTATTAACACTTTTTTTAATTTTTTACTTTAATAAGCGTAAACAGCTTTATCAAACACAAAATTTAGACAGATCACAGAAAAACACAGCTTCACAGCTTGACGTTTGCGTAAGAAACTGTTTACTTGCTAGTTTTGCGTTTCTTTAGTATTTATTTATTTCGTTCTCTGCGAGCGTAATTCTCTCAATTTTCCCATTCTTCTTCCTGATAATCATCTGCTAGAAAAGAAAAGAAACAAAGTTAAATTAACAAAACATCGATATGCGTACTATACGTCTGTCACATCGAAATAGTATCAAAATCCATAGTATGCATACCATGGTGTGCAATCCATATATCTGTCAGGGCTATTATAGAACTTTTAAAATCTTTTTGTAGAAGCGTTTGAACTTTACAAAGTAGAATTTTGGAAATTTAAAAATTTATAAAAACAATTTTGTACGTAGAAATATAGAAGTTTATGTAAAGTCATTCGTAACAACCAAGAATACCATTCATTCTCTGCCCATGCCTGCACATTAGCCTGCGCCTTAGTTGTATGGAGATAATTTCTGTTAAGCTACACAGAAAGAAATGTTCCTTCGATCATAACAACGTGCCTTGCCAAAAATTTTTATAATCGGACAACGGAAAGACGTGCCTCGAAAGTCCCTAAAGTTCAGCATTTTCATGAAATCTTTCACAAAGTGGTAAAAATTGCCTATGAGTCAGTGGGAAATTTAATTTATTGTAATGGCACTTGATGTACTTTTGCCCCCCGATGTCAAATATGACTAACCATTTTTAAACCTCCCCAAATTTTAAAGTTATTAAGGTTTTTTCCACGTAAAATTACAATTTTCTAGGTATTCAGAAGTTAGGTTTTAGCCAAGTAAATATGGATCAAATTGGTACGAAGAAAAAAATTGTAGCAGCGAACTTTTGATGCAGTTTACTTCTATTTGATACGTAGATTATGGATCAACAGTCTCGCCCCTAAATTTCATACCGGAACATTTCGCTATCTTGGATTTTAGGTTTTCTTGGGTTTTTGCGATTTGCAACCTTATTTTGCATTTTTTATATAAAATTTGTATAAAAAATAATTTTTGTTGTTAATAATTAGCAAAGGATGCGAAAAAATTTTAGCATTGTCACGGTTTTTGCCATTTTTCAACAATTTCTGATAAAAATACGTACCATATTCAAATGCCAAAGTTTCAGGGAACTTCTCTCTTTTAGTGTTGGTTCTCCGGTGGCAAAAAATTTGTAATGCCAAATCTAATTTACGGTTACTTTAGATGCCACATTTGAGACTCCATGTTGAATTTTACAAAAGGCCTCTCGGCGTTTTCCCAAAAAAACGTCAATAACTTTAAAAGATGGCCAGGTTTAAAAATACTGTAGCTCAAGTGCCATTAAAATACGTATATTAAATTTCCCACTGACTTATAGGCAAAATATTAACCACTTTGTGAAAGATTCCATTAATTTGCTGAGCCTCAGGGCCTTTGAGGCACGTCTTGCCGTTATGCGATTTTAAAAATATCCCGCAGGTCACGCTTTTATGACCAAATGAACCTTTGAGCTTTGTAGCACAAAGTCGCAGAATAAGGCGCAGTCTACTGCACATGCATGATGATATTCATTGAACTATTTTGCAAAACTATAGCTAAATAGGGGAACGAAGGGTCTTATAAATCACATAAGGAAAAATTTCTACAGAAAAAACAGAAGTCTGAATTTTTGCTCATTTTTTAATGGAAAACGCAGCCCAACAAAAATATAAAAAAATTTTGGTACGGCAAATGTTAAAGCTGTTTTTGATAGATTTTGTTTTGTGGTGATTACGAATCCGTAGGCATAAAGTTTCCATCAGCTCCAGATTTTGAAAAAAAACGAGGTCAAAGTGTCAAAGAATCACGGTTTTTGGCAATATTTTATAAGCTCTAGCAAAGAAACAAAAGGTGATAGAACCTTCCCGGCTTAAATTAAACCTATGTAGATCTCTCGCCTACCACCTCTGAAAACAGATCTTAAATATTTGATATCTTAAAATTGTTTACCATTATTATCTTAAACTAAATGATAGCAAATTGTTATGCATACTTCCCTCCACAGTGGGGGTTTAAACCACAAACCCCCTTCCCCCCCTGGCGGCGGGCCTGCCCTGTACTATGTTAATATCATTGCGGTACCCAATCTAAACATACATGGGCAAATCTAAAAAACAGGTAACCTTTGTGTTATTTAGCTTTCTTTTCACTGTTGTAAACTAAATCAAGCTGGCTGCTTTAGGATATAATTCATTGACGTATACTAGAAGCCTCAAAAAATTTTGGATCAATTTGCTACATAACTTTTGAACTATAGGTGTTTAAATTAAAAAAATAATAATGAAAACAAGTGAATTTTTTATCTAATTTTTAAGAGGAGCACAATTAATTTGTCATAACTTTTGAAGCACACCATATTCTGATTTGAAATTAAATGGGCGTTTAGCACTTATGTGTACACTTCATATGTTGAAGGTAAGAACAGTATGCATTAAAAAATAACGAAATGGCAAGTAACTCAAAGTCTGTAACTCCACATTTCACAATTTAAAAAATTTTCGGTTTATCGCGTATAGGTTTTGAAGCATTTAATTTTAAGAACTTTTTAAGTATGTCTTGTATTCTACAAACAATGACGAATAATTTGACCTTAGCAAGAGGTGTGCTTTCAGAATAAACTAACTTTTAAAGATAAAATATTCTGCGATCTTGATCGTAATTTTTATTCCAAAAACACCTTAATTGAAGGCACATTTGGAAAATACGTCGAAACGATCTAAATCTTTATATAACTGCTATAAAATGCTTCAAAAAATTTGTCTCTAGAAGTGTGTACAAACCCTGATTTACTACTTTTAATGATGCTCCTTCTTTTAGTCAGAATATTTCGAGAGTGGTATCAAAGAAACTTTTTTTCGACAAATGTTCTGATAGTTGCTCTTACTTAATTGGAGTCTTCTAAATTCAATGGTGTCCTCAGTTTTACTTTATTGGCTCCACTTTTCGAGATAGCAATACTTGAAACTTTGCTTAAATTTTAACTATTTTATAAAAATGTCCCTGGATTTAGAGTTAGTTTTTTAATAAAATTTTGCACATAACCGTTTTTTAATATTACCTTAACTATTTCATAAAATCATCGAAATCGGTTCACTAAAACATATAGCTCCCATACAACTGATTGATCAGAGACGTTGTTTTGTCTTATAACTCCTTCAATTAAACAGGTTAAAATTTAGTATAGGCTCAATTTAAAATATAGAACCCATACAATTTATTATTTAGCTATGAAATTAGAGTTACAGCGCAAAAACAAATATCTGAGTAATCAGTTGTATTGTAGCTATATGTTAATGTTAACCTATTTCGATAATTTTAAGGAATAATTAAGGTAATATTAAAAAACTGTTATGTGCAAAATTTTAGTAAAATAACTTCAAAATTGAGGGAGTTATTTATAAAATAGTTAAAATTTAATAAAATTTTCAAGTACCGGAGCCAATCTGGTAAAACAGGGCTTGCCATTGAATTTAGAACGTCCCAATTAAGCGAGTTCAACTTTCAAAATCTTTGCTCAAAGTTTACAATTTGAACCAAGCTTATTCTTTTGTTTTAAATTTCATGTTTATTCCTCGTCTAACTTTTGAAGCACTTGATGAAAATGAATTACACTTATATTAATCGATTTATTAAGAGATTACGAATAAAATGATATATAAAACATAGGTGTGCTCACAAATTTAAAAAATCAAACTTTTGTTTGAAAGTGTACCTATTTTTTGGATTTGATATCATCTTAAAAGTTTAAGAACCCCTGAATTAGAGAATGCAAACATAGCAAAGTGTTTCATTCATCTGGAGGCTCGTTCAGTATAGAATTCTATTTACTTCAGCATTATGAAGTTTTCATTCATGCATTTAGCACCGTGAAATCTTACTTGTAAATATTTCATGATTTAAAAAATTAAATCATTTCACAGTTACAAAGCTTTGATGTATGCATGTATATGTTTATATTAAAAAATTATTAACGATACTTACACACACCAATCCACAGCGAAGAGGAGAGTTACATCCTGTACGGGTGCATCGATGGCAGTCAGCACTACCAGCAAAAGAACCAGAGCTGCACTGGGAACACTGGCCGAACTCATAGATGCAGCAGTTGAAGTCAATAAAACTGTCACCAATTCACCGAAGCCCAGAACAATGCCGCTCATCTGAGCAATGAAGATGGAGGCAATTGCTATGAAGAGTGCCGTGCCGTCCATGTTGATGTTGCAACCAATGGGCAGAACGAAACGGCTAATGCGCTGATCCACACGCAACTTATCGTTCATGCAACGGAATGTGATCGGTAGAGCTGCAGCACTGCAACACCGAATCGAAGATAGAACGGAGGAACGTATCCAAAGTGCAGCCAAGGTAAAATGTTTGATATCAGGATCATTTTACAACGCGCCATTCATAGCCATTCAGTGTTGTTTTAGTTTTTCATTATATCAATTTTAGGAAATTTTGATTATTTGTTTGTTATTTTTATTTTTATATTTATTTTTAATTGAATTGCATTTTGTTTGTTAAATGTTTAATGCCACATTTCGAATCGTTTTTCCAAATGAAAATTAAAACGCAAATCAAAAGTTGGAGTCCAAAAAGAAGGAAAAAATATTTGTAGCAATTAAAATTAAAATTAAGTCTTACGGAGCTGCATCCAATAATCACTGGCCAAGCATATACACGTTCCTACATATATTTGTGTGCACATATGTTCACATGAATGCAGCCACCGTAATGGACATACATATGTATGAACATAAATATGAAAAAGCTCACAACTTTTATGAGTCAATTTCTGACATTCAAAAGTGCTTAAAAATACAATTAATGCAATAATCGCAGGTAAATAGACTTTAAATACATAATGAACCAGTAAAATGTGTACATATGCATGGATGTGTGTATTTAGGCGTTTATGGTACATACATATGTACAAGAATTCACATAGATTTACATATGCATGTAGGAGTTTTCGCTTACGTTGAGGCTGTCGCAAAAGCGGTCAGCATAGGCTGTATGAGTCCGACATAGAATTTGAATGGGTTGCGTCGCACGATCACAAAATAAATCGCCTGCATTATAATGAACTGATAAAGGCCCACGCCAATCAGATTCGTGACTATGAACCACATTAGCTGCTCCATTACCAAGTGCAAATCGTTTACGCCCAAAATTTTACCCGCTATCACTGAACTTATACCGATTGGTGTTAGCCACATGACGCAAGTGACCATCTTCATAATGACTTCAAAAACGGCAGTGAAAAAATCCACAACAATTTGACCTTTTTCGCCGATGGTACCCAGAATGGTGCCGAAAACTAGACAAAAGAACACAATGCCGAGGGTGTTGGTACCGCTGCGATACTGTACGACTCGTATCAGAGTAGGTTGGAGTACGTTTTTCGCTTGCTGCTCTGATAGTACCTCCTCTACGGGCTCTAACTCCGTGCCCATCGTTGTATCGTTGAGTGTCTCATTAAAAGTATGTAAAATATTTGGCTTAGGAAGATAAACAGTGTGCGCTTGTTGAAAGGACGCCTGAAATAAATTGTCCGGAAATACGTTCCTGCAAATAAAAATGTAGATATACATTTTAATTCAACTCTTTTTAAGAAAAAAACATTAATAATTATAAAAAGGTTCCTATTTTATTAAACAACCAAATTTAGTGAACTTAGCACTTGTAAGGATTTTTTTTGTGGATAGCCTTGAAAAAACTAAATAGTGGATTATCTAATCAATTCTACTTTTAAAAACTGTCATCAGTGCAAAGTTGTGATCTTGAATAAGTTCTTGAAGTTGCTTACTTTACTTGTCTCATGAGTCAATTACTTTCGCAAAGTCCATAACACCGATTTACGGCATGAGAGTTGGAAACATCAAAAAACTTATTTCATACCCGTTTTTATGTCCACTATAAAGTTATGGCACTGTGGTGTAGCGGTAAGCAGTGCGCGCCAGTGTTGCCAGTGAAAAATTTCGTTTGGAGATAAACGGCCGAAAAAAGAGCTAAATAATACTAATAGTAGCTAAAATGAAGAGTTAGATTTTTTTAAGTAGAAAATTTATTGACGTAAGGGGGTTTTTACATTTTCCGCAATTTTAATAAAAACAACAATTTTTATAAGTTTAAGGGCGGGATTCACAGTGCTTAGTTAAACGATTGTTAACTTAACCACCAACAAGAGTTTAACTTTGATTTTATATTCAGAGTCACATAGGTAACTGAAAATTCATATCGCCTGAAAATATACAAATTATAAATATCAATAGTTCTTCTATTCAAATTTGAAATTCGTTCCACAAAAAAATTTCAATTTCACAAGAGTTTAACTATGGGGGCATGCTGGTTCAAACTTTTGTTAACTGAGAGTTGCGTATATCAAAATCAATAGTTAAATCTTTGTCAGTAGTTAACTACGCACTGTGAATTTGGCCCTAAGTGCTGAAAAAAAACTTTTGAAACCAAAATAAGGTGCATATATTTCGAATTCGTTATAACACTTATGTGCATGCACATACTTATATAAACTAGACAATGAACTAAAAGTACTTTACAAACTGTTAAAATTTGCAATTTAAGATATTTGAAATGACCATAAAAACTCGGGTTACGAATAATTTTTTCGCAAAATTTGTCTGAAAAGTTTTACTTCCTTCTGTCCTTAAATGTAAAATTAGTAAGAAACGATTTTCTTCTAATTAATTTTTGGATTCATTAACCTAGATCTATGAGTTTATGGTGCAGTCTGTATTTTACGGTGGATACAAGTGTATATTTTTTCACTGAATTTCGAAATTTGTAACTATCAATGCTTAAGTATTGGCTTTCCTTTTCCACCGTGGCCGCCAGAGAGAGAATACCGTCTGAACTTATCGGAGCTCGAATTACTGTCCGGTATAGTTTGAGTTCTCCCGCGCACGTTGCATAAACTAATTGACTTTCCTGCCCATTATGCATTTGCTTGCGCGCCATTTGCATTAGGAATGGAAGTTTTCTAAGTATTATTCGAAATAGAATAATATGAAGGTATCGAAAATAACCTGAGATCGCCAAAGCCAAATAAATTTTAGTCAACACTTGTACAATGAACTTACAGATTTGTAATTCTAATATATTACTAAACACAACTAAAACTTTCTGGAGCTAAAAAAGTGCTAGATAATTTTGAAAAAACTAAAAAAGAGCTAGGAGCTAATGCCGAATTTTCGGAGCAAAATAGAAAAATTAAGAGCTAAATCTAGCTCCAAAAGCACCAAAATGGCAAAACTGGTGCGCGCTACCATTTCGCGGGGCTGGAATCAAGCCCGGTTCAACCCATGTTACGTGGGTGTCAGTTGGCAAAGGTGAGGCGGTACGCAGGCATGGTGGCAAAGCCCAGGCTAGCTCGCCGGATGGGGGGGTTATTTTNCCAATATAACAAAATAAAAAATAATAATTTTTTTTAATAGCGGTCGCCCCTCAACAGACAATAGAAAACCTCCGAGTGTATTTCTGCCATGAAAAATAGCGGAGTCGGCGTAAAACGTAGGTCCCTCCTCTTTTTGCGACAACATCAAGGCGCACGCCACAAGGGAAGCCAAAAACTAACATATGTGTAAGCGGCAAACTATCATTATTATTATAAAGTTATGCCTGAACACATGCGTCAGAAGTGGAAAACTATCGACTAAAGTAAAATCAGTCTGAGGGTTTATACTTCTTCCGGTCATATGGTCCTACGTCCTTTGAACAGAAGGTATTTCCAATTCCCAATGCAAGGCGTACATCAGGCGTGTCAAACTCGCGACCTAACACGATTTTTAGTGGAGCAACGCCAAACAGTTTGCATAAAAAATATTTAAGAGCTAGCAAATGCCCGGCTTGCTTTGCGACGCCTGATAGAACTTTTGCGTTGACCAATACGAAAATAGTGTTGAAATGCAAAAACATTTTGTAATATAAAAATTGTTAGTTTAGTTTGAAAGGAATGAAGAGCAGAATCTTCCGTACTCATAGGCCAAGAATAATAGCGCCGAGATAACATATGGTATATGTCAGGGGTAGGCAAGGCCGAGGCCGAAAAGAGCCACACGTATATTCTAAATGCTACAAAGAGCCACAAAAAAAACAACAAAAACATAAATTACTTTTAAATAAAATTAGTATTAGAAATGAAAAACATTAATTTTATTAATATTATTTATAGATATTAAAAAAAAATTCAAAAGATCCCTTGGCCAAATTTTCAAAATCTGGTTTTACGTCAGTTAAAGCTGTTCGTAACAGTTCTATTAAATGTTGGTTGGTCAATAGGTACGTTCGTTTAAATCTCCAGGAAAAAATGTCCATCAACAAAATTCCGGCGAAATCTCATCTGTTCTCTCACAAGAGAAAAATATCCAAAATAATAGCCGAACAGAAAATTTGCAGAATCTTGCAAGTTAGACGAACAGCTGATACAAATTTTGTTTACATTCAAAAGCATAAAATTGAAAACGTAAGAAAACAAATCCCGAAGTCTTATCCTGACACAGTTCATTGACTAAACAAATAATTACTTACTTCCTACAAGTTTAATCAGTTTAATCTTTTTACTATTTTAACTTCCAAACCTTCAAATTTAATTTAGGGATTTGCGTAAATACCAACCAGCTGTTTTTGATCAGCTGTTTTCTTGTTGGCAAATTGCAGTTGGCAAAAATTTTTTCCAGAAGAAACTAGCAGCTTTTCCTCAAAACAAGTGTCATTTTGCTCTCTCAATTTCCCCTACTTTGCAAGTTTTTTGCTTACGCGAACACAAAAAGCTGATAGTTTTTATAACTTTCAATAATTATCAGGTACGCGAATGCAACTAATTGTGAACGGTATTGTGACTTTACGAATTTCATTGTAGAGTACAAAGACTCACAGCTATACGTTGTACCAAAAATTTAAAATATACGAAACGCACCTGTTTTCAACAGCGGATATTTTGAATCTGGTACTTGTTGCCGGAATTCAAGCAATAGCAAAGCTTTATGTTGCGTTTCCAGTGCCTTATCCACTTTTAATTCCAAAACCTCCAACTCTTCTTCGCTTTTCTTAAAAAGGAGTAGTGCAAATTCATCCTCAATTATGTTACATGAAAAAGGGTACACTTAAATAAGTTCAAATCGGCAAATATTTTTTCAAAGTCTGCTTTTAAATCATGTGCAATATTTTTTCTAGCTATGGGAAATGATAAAATATCCTTTTTTTGAGATCAGAAATAAAAAGACGTAGTATAGCTTCAAAACTTAAAATAATTAGCGACAAATCAAAAAGATTTTCATTCTCTCCTTTTAGAGACAAATTCAAGTTTTACGAATGTTCCATCATATCGGTAAAGAACATTAAGTCGGAAAGCTAATTTGCATTTTCCAATTGTGGGTAATATTCCGATCTCAATTTGCGCATGTGTATAAAAAAGAATAAAATAAAAAAAAAACACAATGGAAAAGAATGTCCACCAAGGAAATATGTATTTTAAAAGTAAAAAGAGCCCCACTTTGCTAAGCAAAGAGCCGCATTTGGCTCAAAGAGCCACGATTGCCCACCGTTGGTATATGTACTAATATCTTTTGAAGTTATGAGCTCTTATCTCCACCTGTGAGATATCTGCAAGTATTGCAAGGTTTGCCGAGAGCGTAGTCTTCTTCTATAATCCTGCTGTTCCACAGGATGAAAGAGTTTTCCCGTTCAAACGGGGTCATTGATATTCCTACCGTGTCCTTTCTAATTCGTCACACTTCTTGATATACCGATGACCCGTCGATGTGCGTAGGATATCCGGGACGCTTAAAGAGTTTTGTGATTCTTTGTATGCGTACTTACAGGAACGGGTTTCTAAACATCTTGACTCTAGCGCCCTCTATGCCAAAGTCCGATTTTTGCATAAGCACTTCTTATCATAAAGTTAGTACCCAGCGCCATCTGTCGGCACCATTTTTTGCAAAAGAATATTTTATGATGCAGAGCATCCGTTCGGGGTAAACAAATAAAAATATATTATTATATTATATAAGTTAACACCGGTGTATTACACGCGCAAACTGCTATTAACGTAGCAGACATAGCGTCAGCACTTTCCATGAGAAAAGAACCTGACACTCTAACTGCATTAGGGTGAGAACAATAAAGCTTATCCAAAAATGCAACGCCACCACCGGTGGCGACGGTAACCTCCACAACATAGACTTACCTGGAAATGCGGCAGCAGCTGCAGCAACGACAACTGACACAGGGACACCGAAATTGCTCATAAGGAAACTGTGCATTTATACATTATTTTGGTTTCAACTGTGCATGCATGCTTTATTTAGGTTTTTGTCAAATGCATTATTTCGGTTTTCAACCGAAACTGTACATTAGATGCCTTATTTTGCTAAAGTATTTCAGATCCTCCCTCCGGCTCCAGAATATGAAAATAGGATGCTAAGAACCCAACAAAATTAAAAAAATTAATTCTTGCAAAAACTGGATGAGCTACTCCGAAATCCGCGATTTATAAGACTGTTTTGCTGTAGGTTTAGGTTCTCATATGAAAAAACATTCATATTGCACAA